ACGTGGCTTGGCTAGTCTAGTGGTGGTACCAGCTGGGCGGCATAATCCTCGTACGTGGCACGAGAATCAGCGACTAACGCATGCTCCCCGGTAGTGACATCGATTGCTAGCAAGGCAACCGGTTCCGGCGGAGTGAGGAGAGACGTCGCCCCTCTCCTTGCGTAACTCAGTTTCCCGAGTTTGCTGGACGGGGTACGCGTGCCTTGCCCTTTTCGGGGCATTGTGCGGTCACATGAGTGACGTCGTTGCACCAAAGGCAGTATCTGTACTTTTGACGAAGGTCATAGACATCCTTGGTTATCTTGTAAGCCGTCCATGGTTGCTGCCCAGTTCCCGTCGATGTCGTCTCTTGTGTCGCCTTGTTCTTCCGAACTCTCTTGGGACGCTTCGGCGGGAGCGCTGCTACAACTCCTCCCTCACTCGAGGATGCTGCTGCAGCGTGGAGATCGTCTGTTTCTTCAGAAATCACGGCATTGTTGTGTGTCGGACGTTGATAGCCATGCTTAGCCACATAATGCGGCTGGGACTGCCGTTCGTTTGCGGCCTTGTCATCCGTTTGGATGACCAAGTTTGCACGATCCAGAATGGCCTGGAATGAATCGTAATCGTACTCGTTGCCGAGTGCCGATCGCAGTCCTGCGCACAATCGCAAGAAGAACTCGGATCGTTGATTGGTAAAACTCAAATCGAAGCCTGGTGTGGTCACTATCTTCTGCCACTTAGTTGTCCAGTCTCGAGTTGGCATACTACCTTGAGAGCAGGTCTACACCTCGTTCATGGCTGCCTTCATGACGTTGCGAACCATGAACCGGGTGAGCCATAGCTTCTCGAACTCCTTCCACGGAATGTGCGTGTGGAGTTCGGCGATGGTGCATTTCTTTGTAGCCGCCAGATGATTCATCCATGCCTGCGCTCCTCCAATCAGTTGTAAGTACAGTGCCTTCATCATGTCATCGGCCGGGACGGTGCGGCATGATGCTTCCGTGAGGAAGCTTTGCCACCATGTCAAGGCGTCCGACTTGTTGTAGTCGTCGAACTTGCTGATGTCGAAGTGCGGCATCTTGTAATTCTTCGTGGCGGYGTCCGGTCTCGTCTGCAGCTTGGTGATGTCCGTCTTGATGGCGGCCACCGTGCTACTGATCGTGTCCGGTCCAWTGAAAACACCTATGTCGCCGATGAGTTTGACGACGTGATCGATRCGCCCATTGAGCTGTTTTGTCTCGTCTATCGTGCAGCCTGGCGCTGCTGAGGTGTTAGCCTCAATGTTGTTGATGCGCGCGAGAGCGGAGTTCAACTGCTGATGCAGTTGCTGCTGCTGTGTTGTTTCGGCGCGGATGGCAGTTGTTAAAACAGCAATGTCTTGCTGGTACTTTTGTCTTTGCTGTCGTTCCGTGCGCAGATGTGCCTGCAGCAGTGTGTTATTCCACATGATTCCTCTCATCATGCCCAGCATCAAGTTGGCCAGGTGGGTCTTCTCTGCCTCCGCCGGTGTCGGATCTGCCTGCGCGTCCGAAGGCACAAAGATCATGCCTTGGAGGAACGTTGTCCACTGACTCTCACTATGAATCAGGGACTCCGTGCTGGCGGCATTCCGTTGGTCTCGTGCCGCTGCGTCAGCCTCAGCAGTCTGCTGAGCTTGGGCTGCCGCTTCATTGGCCAGCCGCTGACGTTCTGCCTCTGCTCCCTCCTGTTGAGCCTTGACGACAGCAACGGTATCAGTGAATACCTGTACCCGCTGAAAGTAAGCTGCCACTGGCTCATTGGCCCCTTGGACCGGGCATGCGGGAAGAACCCCGGTGGTAACCGGTACCGTCAATGCTGTACTCGATGCCGCTGGAGTCTTCCGTTTGCTGAGTCGCTGTTGCTGAGCCTTCGTTCTTGGAGGTACCACAGGGCGGGTACGAACTGCAAGCCTGGCACTGCGTCGTGGCAGTGCCCCGGTGTCCTGTTTCATCGACATCAGTGGGGACTGATGCGGTACTTGAGAGGTCCCGGTGGTCACAGATTACGGGGAGGGTAGAGAGAGTGGAAACCGGGGTAGAACAATCATACAATACACATACAGTCCCCTGTCCCACTGATGGACTGTAGACACCTAATCAAAACAGAAAATATAAATTCCCGTAAACAATTCAACAATTCGTAATAAGAATTAGAATTAACGAATTATTTAATCCATAAAACTTATTTAATGACAAATAACGAAATAATAATTCTTAATGATCATCAATAAACAATGTTTGTACTAAAGATAATCCGTAATCAATATTTGCAATCAAGATAATCAATAAACAATTTTTGCAATAATGATAATAAACGAATTTGAATTTTATCAAGATTAGGTATCTGTTGAGATCATCTTTAGTCCGGGAGTTCACCGTTAATGAGTGAACTACCCGGAAGTTGCAACTTGAGGGTCAGATTCGGACTAGTATGCCAAAAAAAAATTCGGAAAAAAAAGTCAGGAAAAAACACTCGAATTTTCACAAACGTGAATTTTCGGGAATTTCCACAGTCAAAATCCGATTTTTAACGGCCTAAACCCGTTTTCGGAATTTCTCACAACAAAGGAACGAAAAAAAAAAATTCGCGAAAATTTCGGGCCCAACCCTAATTTTCCGCGTTTCGGCAGAATTTCCGAATTTACGGTTCCCAAAACGTTCGAATTTCCCAAGTTGCGTGAAAACCAAAATTTTCGTAACCCTAATTTCCACTACTGCAATAAAACGGAAATGCTGAATTAGAAACGAAATACAGGATTAAAATCAGAATGCCGAATTTAAACAGAATACTGATTAAACCCTAATTACGAATTCCTAATCAGAAATCCGAACCAAACAGAATGTTGTATTAGTATCAATCATCGGATCCCAATAAACAGCCTACCGAAATAAAAACGGAAATCCGAATGATAAGTCCGAATTCCGAATTGAAACGGAAATGCCGAAATCACAGAATACCGACAAAAGAAAAATTTGCAACTTTGAACTTAATGGCAATACAGAGCTGATTCGGAAGATTAAAGAACAATCTAATTCCTAATCAGACTTACCTTTGTGTGGTCTGCTCCGATACCAAAACTGTTACATACTTCAACGACTATGGGCAGAACCAAAGATCAACCAATGTAGGATGAGCATATATGCAGCGGAAGTCTGATAAACGGACTGACTCACATAGACTGACTCAAGAATCCCTCCATACAATCGTGAGATGGTGGGGTCTGGGCCAAGCATGGACGATGCCCAGATCCCGTACACTCATACACAGATGAAAGGTGGGAGGAGGGACGAAGAAGGTGGGGGAGGTAGACAGCACCAGTAGGTCACCGATATGGTAGTCCAAAATGTCATCCAACAAGATCAAAATGTCGAGGACAATCAGTCACCAATGTCGGAGATACAGAGTCCAAATGTAACCGGTGTCCAAACTGTGATGCCGCCAAGTATCAACCCCAACAATCTCCAAGTCTCCAGTCCGGTAAGTACCACAGTCTCATACCACCGAAATCCAACACTGATCTCTGTCCAACCAGTATAAGTCTCCAATCTGAAGAAGAAGAAGAAGAAGAAGAAGAAGAAGAAGAAGGAGCCGAGGAGGGGAGAGAGAGAGAGAGAGGGGACTGGCGAGGGGAGGGAGGAGAGAGGCCTCCAACTCCCGATACCTCAGGCGGCTATGGCCGCCGGCACACTCAGTCGCCGCTGCTGCTGCTCGGTCGCTGCTGCTGCGCTAATGCTGCGCTGCTGCTCCTCGCTGCCCCTGCGCTAAACTTAGCACCAGCGCTGTATCGCGCTGTACCATACCGTACCGGTAGAATCCCGGTAGGTCGATCCCTTCGACTGAGGCTGGACCGGTTCTTTATACCGGTGGGGCAGAGGCCGGCCTCAATGCTGCGAGGCCTGGCCGTGCCCTGAACCGTCCAGATGGACGGTTCAGCCCCAACCAGCGGGCGGCAGCCTCAAGAGCGCCGCCAGGCCCAAACGGTAATGTCGTTTGGGCCTGCCCGTCGGGTCTGGTCCAAGGTGAGGCCTTTACGGCCTGTAGTACCCCCCCAAGGTCGGGCCTTTGGCCCTACTGTGTCCCTCTACCCCTATGTCGGGTCCGGTAGGACCCGTGTGGCGTCGAAGATGTAACAGAGCAGGAACTGATGACTGGGTTCACAGACACCTGGCTTGGCCAGAAGAGGGCCATGGCGGACCTTCAAGACTCCCAGCTCCAACAGAAGAACTGGAGGAGGGAGGAACATAAATGGCCCCTTTGGCCTTACTCCCACTTTGAAATTCCCTTAGCAGCAAGCCCCCCTTCTTTCGTCCTTCTCCCAGGATGAACCCCTTTACACACCTCTGCTCCCTCCTCCAGATGCACCTGCAAGTACACCTCTGTTCCCTCTGTTCCCTTCCCTCCCCCCCCTCCTCCCCCTCCTCATCCCCTTCCCCACAACCTGCCCTTCCTGTCGAAACAGGGGAGTAGCTGCGTCAGCGGGCAATACAGAGGAGCAGACTTGATGATGGCCAGTGGTCGGAAGAACCCCAATGTTTGAGGAAGACCGGGCTGTTTGAAGCCCGAAGAGTTCCAACACAAGAGGAGGAACGGGTTGGTTGGACGATCACGGGTGGCAGCTGATTACAACACGAAGACAAAACCTGGGCAAAACCCTTAAAACCCTCGATCTACTGAGGGTTTTAGGTTTTTTGGTTTCGACAAGATCCGGTTTTCATCCTTTTCTTCCTTATGTATAAGTTTGTATTGGTTCTGCATGCAGTTTGATAGTCTTTACATGCTGTCCCCGGTCTGGTTCCTTTGGGGGTTTACGAAATGGGTTCTACGACGGGGGCTTTCTTTTTGTTTCCGTAGCTCTTATTTCGATTTATGTCCCCTCAGCGGGCTAAGTCCATGGCGACAGCAAAAAGGGGAGCTGCAGATTTGGGCTGGTCAACAATAATTCTACTTCGCAATGGGGTGGGCGACACTTGCAGCTCTGAGGGACAAGGAGTCACGGGTTTTGAAAGCCAATTGACCATGGCCCATGAAAAACGGTGAACTTTATGTTGCAAAGATGTATGAGCGGGACACTGGTCCTGGTTCCCGGTAGACACAGATCCTCACCAATAGATGGAGAAGCCCGAGAGTTGAACCCCTCCATCATGGCGGTTCTCTCACCACCGCTGGGTTGGAAGGCTCATGTGGATTGGCACGGGCTCCAGGGAGGGTGGGTACAGTGGGTCGGCTGAGACGGCCTCATGCGACCACTGCAGCTGTCTTGTGTTGCAAACATGTATGAGAGGGACACTGGTCCTGGTTCCCGGTAGACACAGATCCAAAGGTTTCTATTGGTGCCACATGTTTTTAAATGGGACGCTGGGCCCGGTTCCCAGCAGGTGTTGCTCCCCACCAATAGATGGAGCGGCCCAACGGGGAAACCCTCAATCCTGGCGGTTCTCTCACCACCGCTGGGATAGTGGGTTTTCGAAGGGCTTTTCTCAAAAAAAAAAAAAAAAAAAAAAAGGAACGGCATGAACTCCACTGGGCGCTCACCTACAGGAGTTCTCTGATCCGACCTCTTGGTGATATGAATTTTGCAGGACGGGGGCTCTTTTCCTGTGATAGTAGTACGAGCATCTAGAAGCAGAGTAGATGAGATAGCGAAAAACGGGTAAACGAAAAACGAAACGAATGAATCTTCCCACAGAAAATGGCCAGGTTCATGGGTTTGCTATAAATGGTAACGAGTGTATTTTGCCACCTTTGTTGGCCAGATGCACTCGTTTCGTTACCCAAGGTCTGATGTGCGGGTAACACTCCACTGGTACAATGTTTTTTTTTTTTTTTTTTTTTTTTT